CGAAACGTTAGAAAACTTAGCGTCAAATTGCGTAGTTGCGATAAGAAATAATATAGGATTATATCAGTTGTTAGCAGAAAAAGAGAAGGGATCAGTTGGATGAAAAAAAAATCAAAGACGAGGAAAGAGAATTTCATACAGAGGTTAGAAGAATAAGATAGCAGCAGAAAATGATAAAACGCAAGTGCAATTTTATGGTTGAATAATAAACCAAAACGAATAATACTTATGTATGTAATATTTGTAATACAGCGAGCATTATTATTATGTTTAATATGTTTTATTTTTATTATATGTTGATAAATTAAAATTTATTTAAAATTGATATAAAATCTCTTTCAAAGTCAGAAAGGCAAGAAATAGATATATATCTATGTATTATTACCATATAAGGTGATTTCTAAGGTTTTTACAATGCCAAATTACAAAAAAAACAGTTTGAGAAAAATTCAAAGGTGTATGCAAAAATGGAAAAATTTTGTGATATAAAACCAATTGTCATGAAATTTGACAGAGACATAAAGGTAAAATATAAAGACATCTAATCAAAATCGAATGCTTAAATAATTGAATCCTAATTTAAAATAAAAAAAATGAGTCCGATGGATCATGTGGCCGATGGACAGTGCACATTTATCACTCATACAATTTCACTTTGGCAATAGAATAACATTATTTGTAAATGGTTTAAACATTGCAACATTGTTGTCTATATAAATGGAAAGTTATTTTATTTATACAATTTAATAAAATGCACGATGAGTTGTTGTGGCCCGAATAGTCACGAATAGCCTGAATAGCCATGTTTTGCATTTTAGCATAGCAACGAGTTCGCACTACACCGAAAATGCAAGATTGCGAATTCTTAAACATCGCACGGATGAAGGTTGCACATTTAACCATATAGTCCGATTGAGGGCGCGGCAATACGATACCGCGAATTTTAATAGAAAATACGGTTACCTTATCGCGGATCGTGGGAGTCCGTTTTTAAATTTTTGACATATTTTCTCATCTTCCGCGATTAACCGATTGAAATTGTAATTGTAATTTAACGCGAGAGAGACATTTATATATAATTACATTATATAATATACACTGGAATTTTATTTCAAGAAAAATAATTTGTAATAACGGAAAAAATAAAGGAAATTTGCACGAACAGTATGATTCAACTTAAACAAGAAGGGAAGGTATGCGTCATGGCGAGGCCCGACAACGAACCAGTCGTGAAAATTCGCAATTATTATTTTTGCGAAAAATATTAT